CCCAAACTACGGACCTGATCATCAATAATCCATATTAACAGAACAAAATTAATTCTCAATATTCTCGTCCGCTCTGATTTTTTTCTCTTTAATCAAAAACCTGTAATTAATGTGGAAATGAAAATATGACCACATACCATATTTGAACAGTATTCTCCCGTTAAATTCTGCCTAAAGTTTCTATTATTTTATTTGGTAATTCTAATCATGTATCAGGTATATCAGCAATAAATTTATGCAGTAATTCTCTGTAAATATTTGAACTTTATAGATAAAAAATCATCCACCTGTATCGTACACACTCGTACATAACAAAATTAATGGAGGTCACTTCAAGTTACAGTGCAGTACACAGCCGACACTGGCCCTATTAATTACACTTTCCACACGTTTCGGGAGTAACAATATCATCATACCTTGAAGTTCATTTGGGATAAGTTCTGGTTACATTCTGTCCTGAGAATATCAAAAAAAAAATGATTCATTCCAAGTTGTTGTGCTTATATGATGAATATGGGACCTGTCCACAGAATGCGCACGAATTACCAATTACTTGGACACACAACATATACGAGTGTTTATCGTGATCACCGTCATTTACGAAAAGTGTCTCACAAAAGTAGCAACCTAAAATATTGTTCAATATTAATTTTCATATTGTTTTGTATTGATGGAATTTCTAAATAATAGTGAAATGGTTATGTATTATTAGAAACTTTGAGGGACTTGTTTAGATTATACGCAAATTCGCACAGGTGTGTGGTAATAACCATATTAGATGGAAATCTACATTGAGGCTCCGCCAAAAGAATAACAGCTATGAAGAAAAATCAATCTATTTGATTACATCGCAGAAAATTAATGCAAGTCTAGCACTGCGTCATCGAGTTTACTAACTAGAGCATTGATAACACTGCATGTTAAATTTCAACGGTTACTAAACTTATGACGGGCACATGATATGCAGATGCGCAATATACATAAATATATAAAGCTATTTATTATTGAAAATACTAAAATAAATTTATCACTACATGCACAGTATGTCTGCTCACAATGGTTACATGTGTGGGCATGTTTTTCTAATAGATATGTTGTATACATTGATAAGCATTATGACTGTTGTAGATGCGTACAGTTGAGTGAATGCAAAAGTGTTGAAACATTGCATGGTGTTTTCGAGGCGATTCTGAGGTGCTTCAAAGTAAAACAATTTGGAAGAAGAGTTTCAGTTACTCTCGTGAACACAATGCGTCTTATATATTAGCACTTTGTGAAGCATTTATAGTCTGATGTTTTGGCTTGAAACATCGTTGGTGATCGTTTTTCTGAATGCATTGGCTAGGCGTACTTCACCACGCAACTTTATTTTATAGTTGTACTGATTAGTCGGTTTTGATAGAAAATACAGACGTTTTATAATATAATGCATTTTAAATTTCAAGTTTGCCTTCATTGTTTTAATGAAAAACACGAATGCTTCTTAAGATTCACAGCGCAGTGAGCAGGTCACCGAAAATAACCAACCAAACTTAACATAATTTGCATAACACTATCTATTGCCACTAAAGACAAGACAAGTTGTGGTTTTTCAGGGCAGAGTTTTGATAAGGCTGTTTACAACATAGTCTTGTGTTTTCGGATACTCTCCAAGGCCACCCAAACTGATGAATGGCGGTAACCATTTATATCCTAGAAACTGATTCCAACATTCACACCAGTTATTTGTGCCATATGTCCCAGAGTGGTGTGGTGTACATTCATTTTATCAAAGCATTCTGTTGCATGTCTGTGTTCCATTCCATTCCATTCCATTCAATTCAATTGGAAGTCTGTTGAAGTGTTGTAACAGTCTGTTTTGTAGACTGAGTTTACAGTTGCTTGCAAGCCAATAGTCATCACGTAATCTTATTGTAAATGTGTGAGAGGCACTTTAAATAAGCAAACCCATTTAATACAGTGTATCTCGTATTTATTCAGATGTCCAAAAAAAGTGACAGCACTACAAACGACAGGACTTCCACCAATGATTGAAAACAAATTGTCAGATGATTGTACAACATCCCTTATGGTCTCCTTGGCAACCATGCATGGTTCTGATGAAATACCGTGAAGTAACGAGAAACTAATACAAATATCTTATTATACGCTTCCAATTAATTTACACAAAATGAGGTCATCAACTCAGAAGGTTTTTTTTTTTGAACAGCATCAACAAAACTTATTTATTAGTAATGCCAATTACACCACATGCTAGACGGGGACCAGCATTGCCAGTCTTTTTGCTCTCCTCGTCTCCACCTTGTCCCAAGTCATCCTTCTTCTCATGAACCTGTAAATTAATAAAAAGATTATAAATTTTACTATTAAACATTTACCAAATCAATTAATTAAGCATAATCTTGATCATCTTTTGATTAATATTAATATATATATGCCATTAAATTATTTATATAATATGTTGTCTTTATTTTTCAAAATCAAAATGTAATTGATTATATAGAATGTAAATTTGATGTGTACAAATTACGAACATGAAAGTGTTCATAATTAACCGAAAATCACAGCAGGCCAGAAGAACCCATGTCTGGTCAGCTATGGGTGTGGTACGGTTTTAACTTGAACCATTCGTATTCCTGCTTTTTTTTTAACACCTTTTTTGTAGTGTTCTGGTTTTCACATGTTTAGAAGTATGCTGCCACATACCAATAACTTATTATTATACATCAGCCATAGTAACGCCATAAGTTACAGCGCGCCATAATTTTGCGGTATTTTACAGGGTATTTCCATCCTACCATATTATGAATTGCAAATTCCAAATATGGAATTTCAATGCCTTAATTCAAGTGATGTTAAATATTTGTAGAAAATCACAACATCTCATCCTTTGATCTATCAAGAGTTTGATGCAAATCCTTGGCTTTCAAATTTGGCACAGAGTTCAGAGTTCAGAGTTTTGCAATTACTCGTATTGTTGCCATTTATACTTACAACCAAGGAGCGTCCAATGATGGAATGTTCTCCTGTAAGGCTGATCATGGAATCTGTAATATTGACATTACATGCACGGTCGTCTCCAACAAGCACGTTACCCAAATCACCAACATGTCTGTTGAAAATCAAAAATTAAATGTTCATCTCATTATCTGCGCAAATCCATCAGTCAAAAACAGTTGTATGGTGACCACCCAGAGGAATTTTGACAAGTGGCATTTTAATGCAGCGATACTAATTTTAATTAATTACACCATGAACTCAAGAACAGCGAATAAGTGTGATCTCTAAATTTGCTCACACTAACTATGGTGCATACATTGTCCAAATACATTTTGAAAGAATTTCCTTAAATTTTGTTCCATGTCATTGGCAATTTGAAATTCTGGAGAAATAACTACATGATGGATGTATACGTAAAGTTTGAATATGATCAGTTAAGGCATGTCAGATATCGCTTCTCACTAAACATAATGGCCATCAGTTGGCCATTTTGAATCTGCTCTGAAAAAACAAAATGACATGTAACATGATGGTTAAATTGTGTACCAAGTATAAACAAAATCTAACCATGAATTTTAAGCATAAAAATGGCCGCTATTTGGCCATCTTGAATTGAGTTGTGAAACAAAAGTGCATATGTGAATTTTGAAATAAAAATCTAACTGAATATCCCTTTGACAGATTTTAACCAAATTCTGACCACTACATGCTTCATCAAAATTTGAAAGTGAGAGCTAGATAAGCTTACAAGGTCTCTCACACATATTACTGAATCAACCATTTACAGACTTGTCTTTTGAAAATGATAAATAAGCTAAACATAACTCTCCAGAACACAGTAAGGACAGTGATTAAAGCCAATTTGAGAATAATAATTAAACTAAGTTTTACCGTTTATCAGCTGCATCTGTAGGTCCTCCATGTAAGCATCCGTTTGGATTGAAATGAGAGCCAGCGCTTATGCAACCTGTAAAAAGATGTATAGTGATTTTTGGTTTACGGGTAAGAAAACAAAATTACATTAATGGATGTGACTGATAATTTACTATGAAAACTTTAGCACCCCGTTGGCAGGCCCAGTCACACTGGTTCTCACTACAAGAGGTTACGATCCCCCCTGCCAAACGCTAAGGAAAACTGTAAACATGTATATATGTATTTACATGAAATATTGTCCAACTATGGGGATCTGTTTGTGCAGGAGTATTATGACCGTATGCCCTTACTGACGTCAACCAAACTTAATATGTGAGAAGATGGCACCCAAGGCTGACAGGTATTACACCTTGTCCAAGGGTGACCTGGAGGTGGTTGTGGCAAAGGGTAACCTTATTCTCCCAAATACAAAAACTCCACAACCAGATGAGATATAGTATATTTTCATCCACAAACTCAATTTTAAGTCAGTCAAGTTCCTCTCATATTTTCCAACCAAAGGTGAACTTAATGCAGTAATATTACCCTTCATTGCTGATTGATCAGAATGTAGTCACATGTTATTCAGGAACTAAGTTTAATCAGAAGTATCAACTCCAGGGACAAGTCTTGCGTTACGTAGGTAACTTGCATACAAATTTGGGCTTTTGTGTTTGATTCAGTATTAATATTTCATGTTGACAAAATCATATACAGATCCCTAATTTCCTTTCCACGATTACATGATTATATCCAACAGTGAGTACTGAGAATAGTGCATTTTGTCTCACAACAAAAGTTTCTATAAAAGTATACTGTAAAATGTGTATCAGAAACTGCGGCTTCTATTCAAATGGTACAGTGCCACAGATGGGATGCAGCTTCTATTAGATATCTACACATACGTGAAATGATGAATTTTTTATTCTCAATTATTCAAAAAGAATGGGTGTGACTTCTATTAGGGATGTGGCTTCTAATACAGATTTTACAATAATAGAAATTTAATGCAGTATTTCAATGTCATCTAGGCACACAATCACCAGCAGATTTTAACCCGAATTCCCCAAAAAGTAGCATAAGTTTGTTAATGAATATCACTGAATGTCTTTCACCTTCCTTTTGAAATCAAGACGCACTCGTCCATGGTAGTTGATTATCGTTCAAAATAAAAATAGAGTTTGTTTCAAATTTGGTCACTAAGCATTTTATCATATGATTATTTTTATTTATGAAGACATTCCCTTCAGACAAAAAGTTGAATAAACAATAACTGAAATATTAAAATAGGTAATTGGGATAAAAATGTCTGCACACATACATGTACTGTAAAAGGATTAATTATTCACTGGGTTTTATGTTGACACCGTTGAGGGCGCTATACTGTGGCGTTATTAGCACTGCTTACCATTGGTATTGTCACCAAATTCATGAATATGGAATCCATGTAGACCAGGCTCCAGACCAGTTATGCTTCCAGTGACAGTGACAGGTTTACCAGCAGCCTATAAGAAAACATTACAAGAAATTAAAATCTAATTAGTAATATTTAAGTTTTACTCAAGATGGTAAAAAGACCACTAGCGAAACAAGCTCTATAGATATTATAATGTGTATATACATGTGTGTACATTTATATATGTATTCCATTTGCGTTCAATACACGAATCTGCATATACGTACTACGCCCACTATATTACGTTCATCTTTGACTTTTCTAGCCGTCTTAAGTGCTTATTTTCACCCCTTTTAGAAAAACCTGCTAAAACAAACCAACAAACAATAAATAAACAATAAGAATGAAGGAAATTATACATCTTAAGAGTTTGAAAACTGTGCACTTCCAGTCAATGAGCATCACCATATTGTTTGTTCCACAAAATATGTGAAACAAGCAGCCTGTCGGCTGAGATAGCTCCGCTGTTAGCAATGCACATGGCAATTAAAGAACAGAAGTTATCATTAGAAAATGAACAAATCTGAGAGAGGTCCACATGTAGTACCTATATGTATAATATATCAAAGCAATTGGACTTGCGGTTTTCAACAAGAAGTCGAAAATATCACTTTACCAAAAATTACAAAAATATTCATCAAAATTAGAGAATTAAAGATATCATTATGAAATGAACAAATCTGAGAGAGGTCCACATGTAGTACCTATATATGTAATATCAAAGCAATTGGACTTGCGGTTTTCAACAAGAAGTCGAAAATATCACTTTTTACCAAAAATTACAAAAATATTCACCAAAATTAGAGAATTAAAGATATCATTACAAAATGAACAAATCTGAGAGAGGTCCACATGTAGTACCTATATATGTAATATCAAAGCAATTGCACTTGCGGTTTTTAACAAGAAGTCGAAAATATCACTTTTTACTAAAAATGACAAAAATATTCACCAAAATTAGAAAATTGAAGATATCATCATGAAATGAACAAATCTGAGAGAGGTCTACCCAAGGTACATATACACCAAGTATCAAAGCATTCAGGCTTGTAGTTTTCAAGAAGAAGTCGAAAAAGTAAAACATTGACACGGACGACGGACGACGACGACGGACGACGACGGACAATCACTCATATGATAAGCTCCGCTCGACAAAGTCGACAGCGGAGCTAAAAACTCATTCAATGCTATCAAAATATTTAGAACATTCTCGTAACTGACTAAAAAACTTTGAATAATGTTTCGTTTTTATCAGCGATGAATCATGAATCATTTGAATTGCCATTGAATCTTACCATGGAGCTAAAAAAAGAAGGAGATCGAACAGATTGTAATCCTACTTGAGTCCTTTGTTTTAAGCTGATTAGTTTATTGTTCGTGTTTGTCTTTCATCTCCGTGATCGCGGCCGGCG